TCTCGAGCAGAAGAAAAGGGGACTCATTCATGAAAGGTCGAGCTCATTTGTTTCATGTGAGATATTCAGTCTAATAAACAGTGATGAACAGTGAAGGGGTCTCACTGAGGCTGATTGCCATGTGACTGTATTTCACACGCGCACACATGCAGCACCGTGGCTGATTGCGCCTTTAAATGCCACCCACTGGAGCTGCTGGCAAGGCCGTACATCGTCCCTGCAATGCATTTCTGCTACGCCACTCAGCTTAATGATGACTCCAGCCTGGCCGAGGTGGCCGAGCTCCATATTCTGAGAATAATTGACAATTAGGGGAATAGAAGGGGTGAGCTAAATGCCACTCCACGCTGAATAAAGATACCATGTGATTGTGAAACAGGGGATGGAGAACAGGGGGTGGAGGATGTACAATAAAACTCTGAGCAACAGTTAATATCTTTTTATATCCATTGGTAATTCAAACCCTAACTTTAACTTTTGATGGCTGGATCTACAAAAAGTGGGAGATTGCTGTTCCTTTTCTGTTACCTCCTAACAGTAAACTTTTCAACTGTTCCCTAACCATAACCAAGTTATTATTGTAATCATGACAATGAAGGTTTTCTTAACCTTAACAAAGTGCTTATTTCAATCCAAAACATATTTCCCAAACCCTAAGCCAAATCACACTGTTAACACAGACAAGTTGAAGCACGTTAAGTTACAATGGCCATGTTTCCATCTAATAGTCAATTAAGGCGAATTTTAGGCGAACTTCTGGAAATGTCGCAAATAATAATAATTAAAAAAATAAAATGCAAATTAGGCGCATTTCCATGAACTGCTTTAAATCAGGCTACACAAGGCATAGTTACGTCTGAAGTTGAGGTTACGCATGGCTGTAATAAACAAGACCCCGACAACGGAAACAGCTGATCGGGCATGTGAGGTAAATGATCGCGACACATAGACTGTATATAAGAAGTGGATGTAGTCATCGTGACGTCACCCGTCGGTTTGTGGACTGCTGTTTTGAAGCCTCAAGTTTGGCCGTTGACTTAGCTAGGTGCATCTGTAATTCACGTTAACTGTCATTTTAACCGGGATGATATTTTTGTCTGGCAACAAACAGGCTTAAAACTAAACGTACTCACCAGAGAAAGTGAACAGCCAACTCCTAATAAGCTTTTTCAATGGCGCTGGTTAAATTTACACAGTGCCGTGGGTACGAGTCACTGTAGCATTATAGACAGGTTGCCATGGTAACAACTTGTCAATCACAGATAATCCCGCCCTGAAGAATACTCTGCTATATTGTCTATTTTCCTCTAAATTGGACCATGATTTACTAAATGAACATCATGTCGTATTAAAGGGACTATATGTAAGTTTTTCAATGAAATTAATCAAATTTTCATTGCCTTATTGTCAGTGTGCTCAAAACTCACTTAGAAATGAAGCACATGCCTGTTTTCTCCGTTGCTTCCATCAGCCACTGTTCTGCTTTTAATGTGAGGTCTCCAGGATGAATTCAGCCCTGTGCGCGCTCCCGAAATCAGCTGAGAAGTAGGGTCATCTTACATTTCTAATAGAGTCAGATTTCTTTTTGCAACCAGAAGAGTCGCCCCCTGCTGGCCGTTCAATAGAATGCAGGTTTAAGAGACTTCTGCGTTCGACTCAGTTCTCTGACTGGAAGCTTCCCACTTGTCGCAATGTCAGAATTTATTCAGCAAATGTGTTTCCATCTCCCATTTAGAATAATAACTCTTTTCCGAAAAAGACAAAAACCTACCTCAAGCGAGCTTAAAATCGTGGACAAGGACGTTTTTTCAATTTTTGCAGTTTCCATCAACCTTTTCTATTCCGTCACTTCAAAATGCGCATAAAAAACGTTGATGGAAACTTGACTAATGAAAAACTCAAAGCCTTATTCACTAATTAACACACAACGCAGTGCATTTAATAAAGACGTATATACAAAACATTTGATGCACCATTTCCATCTTAAAAAAACATTTTATATGTTTTATCCGGGCAAGCCAGCCCTGCATAACGATATAAAATATGATACGAGCCATTTTATTTTGTAAGACGAGGACTGAAATATAAATTTTCATAACAATCCACTCACTTGACAAATTGGTCCTCGCAAAGATAGACCTGCAGGAGTACACACACACACACAGGCAGACCAGTAGGAGATGTATTGATCTTTCAGTTGAACAGCGGGGGCTGAAGGTCTTAAAGCCACATGGTGGAGGTTCTGCAGTCTGGATTTAACCTCCGGTCAGCTCAGATTCCAGCTGGATGAAACCTTTTAAAACCAAAACTTAATCTCTGAATCTAAAGTAAAGCAAAGATCAGCAGCAGTAACATTGTTGTATCATTCAACACCTGACTCTGATGATTCTGTGTCTGCAGGTATTTTTATTTATTTTTGTCGTCTAAATTTAAGTGTTCAGCATCTCCAGGAATTCTGTATCCACAGTGTCTGAGAATTATGTCTGAATCTTCTGACCACCAAACTACGTCGCACAGTTAACAGATGCTTTTTGTTGTTTCTAAATTTTATTCTCATTCTGATATTTAGTTTTAGTGCTGGCAGGAGTCTTTTCAGTTCTCTATAGATAGTCTGAAAATGGTTTACAAACGGCACCAAGGATTGCTGCAACACAAATAAGAACAGTCTTCACACATTTCATAAATCAGGTTTTCTTATTTTTGTGTTATTTTATCTATATGAACAAATTTAAGAGAGAAAAATAAGACAGCGTAGGTCAATAAGGAAGGATTGTGGTTGCAGTTTCAATGTATATGGCCTAAATCCATCCTCCTTATTGCAACAACCTCAAAACCTTAAAAACTCTGCTTTAAAGGTTATTTTTCTTGAATACATGCAGCCCAAAAGCGTCATCTTTGAAAAACGCTCTACAGCCTTCTATCTTCTGTTCATCTATCCCTCTGACTGTCTTCCCACTGTATCGCTCCATCTCCCTGTGTAAGACTAAAGAGGGAGCAGCTCAATTACCTTCAGCTGCCTTCCAGTTTTGTATGAGGCCGACTCGCCACTCATCCATCTGCCTGTCTGTATATCCCAGCACTTCTGTCAACTTACTTAAAACAATAATCGTAGCACTCTAAAACCAAACCTTAAAAAGTGCTTTATCAATCAAAACCCAGCAAACACAAGCCTCCACAGAACAAGCAGAAAAATAAGAATAGAGAGTAAAAAAATATAGTTAAAAGTTGGGCTGAATGCTGTCTTAGAGGCTGAGGAGGATCAGAGGCAGCAAACTGGCTTACAGGCAGGAAAAAGATGTCAGATTTGGCTCGAGGCCACAGCTCACCGTGATCAGTAAAATCTCTTATATTCACATAAAGGAGAAAATGACATATGAATGAAGACCCATAACCACCTGCTCATCCAACCGCAAAATCCTGCCCATCACTCCATCTCTACATCTGCCGGTATCTGTCTATCCATTCCTCCATATGGAGTTACAGCATCTTGAGTCAGCAGTGCAATGACCCTTGACGGGCCTTTTTTTCCTCCCTTTCTTTCATTTGTCCTTTTTTTTTTTATTATTTAAAGGAAACGCTTTACATGTGTCTGTTCAATGTGTTTCTGAGATGTATGCTCCATCAATTTTTGCTGTTTTGTTGTAATTTAATTTCTCTGCTAAATCAAATTTCCTCCAAACTGCCTTGTCTGCTTCAGAGAGACTTTGGACCTCCAGAGAATGCAGGTGTGGTAGGCATATTCGGAAAGAGCAATAGAGATGGCAGTGATAATTTAATATGAGTTTACAAGTTAAGGAGAAGCAAAACTGTTAATTTATGTGGTTGCTGCATTGCATTCTGGTCTGTTTTTCTGCTCCTGTGGGTATAGACATCGATCTCCTTGTTCTTCTTCTCTGATAAATATCTTTTTGTTTAGAGAAATACAATAAGCTCTTGCGCCTTGGATTTTGAGAGTCAGGCTCTAAAATTTGACATTGTTAATGTTTGAAAAGGCATTTAAAACCCACCACTAAACAGCTGAATGCGTCCACGTGAAACAACACTGCTATCACCAGAGAAACAACAGAATTGGATGCAAGAGTAGACGTACAGTATGGTTCTGTTTGTGATTATGAAAATAAAACGGAAGAATGTTGACAGTGTTGTAGATCAATATACAGTATCTTACAAACCCCTCACATTTTTGTCAATATTTGATTATACCTTTTCATGTGACAACACTGAAGAAATGACACTTTACTACAATTTAAAGTAGTGAGTGTACAGTTTGTATAATGCTGTCCCCTCAAAATAACACATCACACAGCCATTAATGCCTAAACCGCTGACAACAAAAGTGAGTACACCCCTCACATCCCATCGCACACAGTGGACAGGACATAATAATTAGTCAGGGTGCAGCGGGCGGGATGTGCCGATCTGTTAGGCAGTTGTGATAAAATTGCTGCTTTGCTGAATATTTGATGTGCTTCAATGTCAGGAAATAGGACAGTGGAATCTCCCCAGCTGATTATGTCCACCCACTATGATGCACCTCAAGACGCCGTCAGTTGGTGGCCTTGCATTAAAAAAAATGGATGCTGGTGTTTTGACATGCGTCCAAAGCCGCCACTGTGTATTGTCCTTGAGAGATATGGTCAGCGTGGATAGATGTGTGTGCAAAATGTGTGACTTTGACGACACAGTGCACTGTTTGTGGTTGAAGCCTTCTACTTCCATCCACATCCAAATGCAGATCTTTGTTTGCAGATCTTCTGTTTTATTATTTCAGATTTTAGATATATCTTTGATCCATTGGCATATAATTGTTGTAATTGTATAATTGTTTTTGTAAAGTACTGAAGGAGTGGGAAGCTGGATGCTGTAAAAAAAAAAATGCTGCTTTCAGATTTATTCTCATTACCACTAAATGTGTGATCATGCATCCAGCCATAGCTTCAGAACAGTGTCTCCCTCTATCTAACATCTTAAGATCGTATGTCCTGTCCGTCTCCTCTCAGGACTACAGAGTGAACATCTTCTTGAGACAACAGTGGAACGACCCTCGGCTGGCCTACAGCGAGTACCCAGACGACTCGCTGGACCTCGACCCCTCCATGTTGGACTCCATCTGGAAACCTGACTTGTTCTTTGCCAATGAGAAGGGGGCCAACTTCCACGAGGTCACCACCGACAACAAGCTGCTACGCATCTCTAAAAACGGCAATGTGCTCTACAGCATACGGTGAGTGGAGGAAGTGTGAGATTTTAGAGTCCAACTGAGAAAAAAAGTCCGGTTATTAAACTGATTACTACGGCACGGATACATCTTAACGTTATCATTTCACTCGGTTTGTTAGGTGTATGCAAACTGTAAATGGCACAATAAGTGCCCTCTTGTTATTGTTTAGACGATACAATAAAGAACACGTCCTCTTTTTCCAGCTGTATATAACATTAAATATATTCTGATCATGCAAATCCCCCAAAGTAAACTGACATTAGTGATATCACGAAGTGTTTTATGTATTTATAAGGTCAGGTTGTTCTGTCAGCCAATCATTTCTGTTATTTTAATCTCATTCCAAAGTTGTTAAGCTTTTTTGATATCCTCAATGTTATTTAACTAACACAGGAGTCTGCTGTATAATGACCGTACCCTATCTCTTACAGCCATCAGGTGTCTCCACAACCATTTGATGTATTACCATAAATTTGATAGACATTCACGGTACCCTCAGAATGAATTGTCATCGTTTATTGGATCCAATACAATTAATCACGTTTTAGCATGTTAACACATTAAGCTAAAATGACAAATATGGTAAAAAATTATGCCTGCTTCGCATTAACATTGTCATTGTGTGCACTAGGTCTGAAAGATTAGGAGAAAAAATCTATTTGCGATTTTTCTCCTAGATACTGCGATTACGATTCGATTTGCGATTACTAAAAGTGGAGCTTAAGTTCAATATTCACGGCTAGTCTATTTTTGACGGAAGCCTCAAGCAGCACAGAGCAGATGAACCGAGCAGGAAGTCGGACACAGAACGGTATAGAGAATACGGTCGATTTTCAAAATAAAACACCTGTGCAGACTCCCGATTGCATATCAACAATAAGTTAAAACTGACGAAAAAGAAACACTTTAACTACGTAGCCTACCTAATCATCATAGAGTCATAAAAATCAAGGACAGCTGAACAAATTAACAAAATCTGAACAAGTCAGCTGTATAATTAACCTACATTTTAATCGCCGTCCTCATGATCAGCGAATTTCAAATTGCAATTCCGATTTGGAAATTAATTGTTCAGCCCTACTGTGCATGTTAGCATGCTTACGTAAGGATTTAGCTGGCTGTAGACTCAGTCTTGTCTTCAGTCATGTCAGTTCAGTATGGAGGATGGCTCTAAATACTAGGATATCCTGCTATGAAGAAGTCAGATGCACGAATTAGAGCAGAAGCAAATCCGGTTTCTACAACCGAGATATGTTTAGCCTTAGCTCACCATTAGCCACGCACATGTCCTCGAGTTTGTACTTTTGACTTTTTATCAAAGAAGGAAACAGTTGTCTCATCTTTTGTACCAATGATTCAACATTTAGAACTTCGTGAAGTTGTTTTCCGAACTAACTTTTTAAAAAATGACAAGAAGCACAGTGACTTGATTATGGTGTAGTATAACTGTACAATGATCATTGAAAAGAGACATAAAACGTAATTGAAAAAGTTATAGCATAAGAAGATGGAAAAAGGCTATAAGTTTGGAGGTTATTTTGAAACAATCAGTAATAAAACTATGATGGAAAGTGACTCTCCTGCTCTGACTTCCTGTTTATTGCATTCCAGAGGCCTTTATCCTCAGCTTTAGAGTGCTCTTATTGCGTCAACGTTGGAGGTTTTTATTTCCTCCAGAGCTCTACGTCCTCCCTTTTTTTCTTTGTATCTCCAAGACATCCCATTCAAGGCTGTCAGAGTTATAGCCGCCTTCCGCCGACAAACCTTTTAGCTTGCTGGTGTCTCCTCCTCCTCCTCTTCCTTGCTTTTATTGCCTCAGCTCAGGGCGAATGAGAAAGCACTGCAGCAGCCGTGGTAATCTACTCAGCCTGTTAGTATTCCAGCAGTGAGTCTGATCTGTTATCAGCCTCACTTTTCACCTTCATGTCCAGCAGGAGGAGGAGTGAGATTGGCCCTTTATAAATTTCGTCAAAAAAAGGGATGAACCGTTCGCTCCGCCTCTGTTGCTTTCATTTTTTAACTTGACACTATCGGAATGAACCCTCCGTTGATCAGCTTGATCTCGGAGACGACGAGGCGGCTCTGGATATTAAACCATTTCTGAGGAAGGGGGAGAAAGTGGGTCTTGTAAATGTTGTTTACTCCGTTTTTTTTATGTTTAACGCTCAACAATTGAGCAGTACGAGGAGGAGTCATAACCGATGGCCTCGTCATAAAAGTGAACTTTTTGAGATTGGATGACCAGATTCACAGTAGTCCAATCTTGTGCTGTGTTTTTAAAATAAAATGCAGGGCTTGCACTGAAGAAAAATCTATGATACTTTAATTGCAAGAATTCCTTTGCAAAGAAATAAATGTCGAAAGTTAGTTTTCTCTAAAAGATGAAATACTGAAAAAGGGGCAAATCGAGAAAGCCAGGATACCTTATTTTAGGATGATTAAATCTGACATTCACTTTTGTTCAAATCCCTAAAATGACTTATGTTTACATTCATCTCATGAAGACTCCAAGCAGTAATGTCAGGAATTGGTCAACCATACTTTGAGAGCACAGTACCTGTCTCCTACCATCAGTAAACAAGAATTTATTTTACCATGATACCAATTGCTCTCTTACCATAACCAAGTGCCTGAACCTAACTAAACATTAATTTGTCTTACATGACGTAAACCTAAAAAACACAAAACTTTATAAAATACAGAAACACACACACATATATATATATATATATATATATATATATATATAAAATGGTAAAACCGACATGAGATTACATTACAAAGTATATCGTATTTATTTCTTATCCAAGATGAAAAAGTATGCATGATTTCTTTATTAAACTCTTTAAATACAGGTTTTCAAACCATGAGGCAAAGATTCTGAATTATGCTACATTTCCTATTTCCATCACAGATAAACATCATAGAAAAACTTGCCTGAGAATCATCAAATTTTTAAGTTGTCTTTGGACATATGTTGTCCAACATAACGGTCCAACATTGTGATAACTGTACTCCCAAAACATTGTTACCTCCAAATCGAAGGAATCAAGATTTTTGTTTTCGCCAGTGGCAGATTTTAGTTGACTGGAAAACTCAAAAAACACATTCTGAGCTCAGAGTTTATTTGTCACCATGTAATCAGATTTCTTAAAGGTTAGTCATTGCTGTGGGGTTTTAAATTCACTGTCTGTCCTTTAATAGTAATTCATGATTTTCCATGTAATCCCACTTGTACTGGAACAAAAGCACAAAATCACCAGCAGGATTGGGTGTTCAACTCCATCTAAATCCCTAGGAGTATAAAGTAAGGCACTAACTTTGTCAGCATTTGGCATTTAGGTGTCACGGCGCAGCAGACAGAAAACCACAGAGCTGAATCTTCTTTCTGAGAAAGTGGGACATCTGGGAAGACTTCCTCGTGTGTGTAATACATATTCAGCATCCTGTCATGGACTTATAACAATGTGCAGACGTGGCAAAGTTTATTTGGTACAGCAGGCCGACTGGACGTGTGTGTTGTAGCAGCGGGTGTCCTGTTAGAGCAGAACAGAAGCACTGAGTGTGTGCAGCAAAATCACCTCCTGCACGTCACGACAACTTGCAGACAGCTCAAACTGCAGAAATTAAACTGGAGTTGTTTTTTTTTAGGTTTTCTCAGTGAAATCTTTAGCATTTTGTGATTTAGAGATCATGAGGACGATGGTGATGGATGGTCATTGCTGATTGTGGTTTTCATCGGCAGTTATTAACTTGTATTATCTGAGAATAACCTTCAAAGTAATTTGACAGATTACAAGCTCCCTGATTTATGGACAAAGCAACCAATACAGCACAGTAGGCACACTGTATTTAGTGTTTTATGTATGTCACCAATCAGATTTCCTGGCTGACGTTATGTTACACCCTTAACAAATTGGGAGGAATAATCACGAGAGTGAAAGCGATGATTCCTCAGCGAGAACTTTACTCCAATTAATCTCCAATTAGAGAATCCGGTCAATTTTCAAAATAAAACACCCTTTGGAGACTCCTGATCGTAAGACAACAATAAACACAGACACAAAAAGAAACAATTTAACTATGCAGCTTACTTAATCATAGCAGAAGCGCAAAAAGCAAGCACTGCTTACCAAATCAACAACATCTAAACATGTCAGCAAAATCAGGCAGACAAAACGCTCTAATTCTGAAATGCTCCTTTTGGTACATTCAGCCTGATGACAACGGAACGGAACGGGAGGCACAGAGCGCCGTGAAGAAGGTAGTAGAAGCAAAAAAAAGGACAAATGAATAACAAGTGGGGCAGGCTACATGCTCCGCCACTGAAACGTTTTTGAGACGCTCTCAGTGGACGTTGATGCCCAGGATGGAACAAAACCGTGGCGCGGCCGTAACATGCCGTAGTAGTCAGTAGTCAGTGGACTTAAAACTTACTCAAACAGTTTAAATCCATGCACAGAAATAAGACAGAAGCCCCGTGAGACTAACAATTTGCACACACACACTTTACTACACTTAACTCTAACTTATTCAAAATGTCACACAAACCCTCTTGAAAACTCTTGAGATCTTAGCTTGGTATCACAGCCATGGTAACTTTTTTAACACCGACAACATACTTGAAAAAGGGAAGGAATAATCACAAGAGTGTGAGAGATGTTTCCTCATCGAAAATAGAGATAGAGCGATGTGTGCAGAGACCGAAGTAATTGATCTCAGGATCACAGATCAATACCACCTTGAAGATCGCAGATCAATACTTTAACATCCCACAGGCCATGAATACACTACAGTCATCTGTTATAAAGTGGTGTATTTCAGATAGACAATCAATGATAGTTGAGTTCATTCTTAACCTTGTAAGCAGCAGCTAAGCAAATCTCATTACAAGAACCATTTGGTATCTGTTCTGTTCTGGAGCTTTCAGTTGGATCACATCTCAGATAAATTAAAAAGATAAGCAGAGCTAAGCTTTACTGTCCCCCCCATTATCATTATTTACATTTGACAGTCTACACATGTATTGACTAATTGAAAAATAATAGATTGATTGATATTAAAAATAATCAGCAATGTGTCAAATGTGTCTCCAATTTATTTTGGAAGCACATTAAGATTACATCTTCTACAGTGTCCCTAGTTTTAAACAAACAGCTCTGAAAAGGCAACTGATTTTTTTTAAACAGCAAATGTTGAGGTCTAATGGGCAGAGTGGAGCATTAATAATGTCTGAGAATGTGTTTTATTTTTCAAATGGTAGATATCTCATTTTAAAATGAAAGTCCTTAATTTCAGTAATGCATCATATCAGTTATAAATTATTTTTTCCATTAAATTCTGGGGATAGTTGACTTTTTGCAGAGATACATTCCCTCGAAGTGACAGCGGTAATTAATTTTTGGTGCCTGAAACTCAGGAACGTAATGTGTCACCACGACGTGGGACCCGCTGCCTTGAACGTTTTAATTTTCCGAGTTTCACGGATCAGCCTTGCATGAAACAAGATTCATTCCCTTGTTGCTGCACGCATGCTAAGCTACAGGTTTTCATCCTGTTAGTCCTCCAGCAGAGAAGAAGACGTGCATGAGTATAGTAGTAGTAGTGAAACGGTGACCTCTAACATCACATTCCAGTGTGTGTGTTCATGGCATTAAAGTCACCCAGTGCAACAATGTGCCTATTTGTTTTTAATAGTTTTTGGACAACAGTGGAACTCTATGGCACTGAGGAATTAGAGATATGCTTTGATACACACACAGTACTTGTTAGATACATTCAGTGTTTTGGACATTTCATTATATCTTGTTGACAGTAAGTTAAATGCAGAAAATCACCAGATTTATCATTTAATTATTTAGCTACCAGAGCCCAGGGTGATATCTTCACGTCACTTGTTTTGTTTCATAAACAGCCCAAAACCAAAACATATCCAATTCAATTGAATAACAATTCAATATTTAATATTTAATCTACACAGCTTATCATACAGAGAGAACTAGCAAATGCTCACATTTAAGGAGCTTACACTTACAAAATACATGTTGAATTTGTTGTAATTGTCTATCAACTAATCAATCAATTAATTAACTACTATTGTTTCACTGTTAATCCTCTCAAATCCGTTTTAGTCACAACATGTTTTAATGAAAGCAAGTATACATCAGTTCAGTTGCTCTTTAATGAAAGTTGTGTTTTTTTATTTAATTAGTTTGACTTTCACCCTTTAAATCTTAGATGTGAATTTTGCTCCTTCTTTCTGGGAGCATAAATTTAAATGTTTATTTAATGTAAATGTAAATTCATTTAGCCTATTGTTGCATGTATTACAAGACAGTCTGGATAACTGCAGTGGCAAAAAAAAAAAAATTTATTCATTTTTTATCAATTTCAAACACGACCTGATCTGTCGCTCAGTGTGGTGGCCTGGCGCTGGCTGCTTGAGCCAAACTGACAAAGCTCTGGATAATCCTCTCAGTACTCAGTAAGTGATTCTACATGTGTGTGTTTCTCTGTGTGTGTGTGTGTGTGTGTGTATGTGTGTGTTTGCAGAATAACACTGATCCTGGCCTGTCCCATGGATCTGAAGAACTTCCCTATGGACGTTCAGACCTGCATCATGCAGCTGGAGAGCTGTGAGTAAATCACACACACACACACACACACACACACACACACAGAGTCAGGGGTACATGGAGAGCATCAGTCACTCAGCAGCTGGCAGGGTGAGAGATATGATATAGATTTCTCTGTGGCCTTTTCATTCTTTGAACAGACGTGAGAGGAATCACAGAAACACAAGCTGAAGTTCAAAGAGCTCTGTACTTCTACAAAGGGTCAGCGATCATAAAAGAAAGATAGAACAACACAACACTCACTAGTACCATACTGACATTTGGTGTCAGTTCTGATTTTAAGGTAACAAAAGGAAGCGACAGATACTGAAGAGCTTCATAAAGTCACTGGCTGACTCTGCGACAATCACATTTTTAACCTTAGAAAGAGTGTTCTGTTCTCTGTTGAAATGATTTTCCCTTTGGTGAAATTTTCTTAAAACAGATCAGCTTAAATATTTGCCACTCTTGGCACCATTGACATTTGTGCAACCACCAAGTTGAGGCATGTACATTAAGCATCAATTCAACAATGACAAAACAGAGATTTCTGCTGATGTTGATATAATTTTATCACCTAGAAAAACTAAAACTAAAAGTTATTGTTGCAGTGTGCGTTCCGGCGTTCGATCCGCATTCATAAACCTATGGACACTTTTTTTCAGTTCCCTGAGAAAATGCAGGGGAATCCAATCACACGTTTACTGACGGCTTTTTCAGAGGTGTGTCAAGCAGGGCAGAGACTCTTTTGAATTTCCTTCAGAACTCTTCAAAGTAAAAGCTCTTAATGAACTCGACATGAAGCACTGGTGCAAAATACGTTCTAGCGCTTTTATTTTTGAGGCACAATCACTTAAGAGGAAGTGATTATGTGAGTAACAGTAGCTGTCATAACTGAGATCTATTTCAGCACCAGCTGTTATCAATTTATTAATTATTTATTTTTCTGCTATCAAAGCAATCTGGCCGCAGGCCAGATATTATTGCTGGTGGGCCAGATTTGGCCCGCGGGCTGCCTATTGCCGATCACTGCTCTACACTGTAACCACTTAGTGCCCGACTATGAATCCTCAGCTGTCAAGTATATTAGGTGTTGTACTTCTAAATTTAATTTTGTCTTAATATCTTTTTCTTTCCTTTTATTTTTACTTCAGTCTTTTTCCGTCTCCTTTTTTCTCCCTTCCTTCATTGATTCTCTCTTTCTTGCCTTCAGTCCTTTGTAATTTCCTACTTTCCTCCTGTCTTTCCTCTGTCACGTCTTAGCTTGCTTCTTTATTTCCTCTCTTCTCCAACTGATCTGAAAGTGTCCAATCTAGGGTTATGAATTGTAGTTTTTTTTTATAATGACTATTTCTGTTTTGGATAGCTAAATAAATTTTCCTGATTATATAAATAACGATGAAACAGGCCTAACCTCTTGCTCGCTCCTCTCTCCTCCAGTCGGCTATACCATGAACGACCTCATATTCGAGTGGGATGAGAAGGGAGCCGTGCAGGTGGCTGACGGCCTGACGCTACCGCAGTTCATACTCAAAGAGGAGAAGGACCTGCGCTACTGCACCAAGCACTACAACACAGGTGAGTGGGGCGAAGATGAAATGTGGCCTCTGACAGTCTGATTATTTCCCCCCCTTTTCTCTCCTCTGTCTGTTGGCTATTGCTGTTTGGTTTACACACTTATAAAATCTAAGTTATCAAGTTAATTTTACTTCTTATGGAGACGTAAAAGACTTGTTTTCTCAAAACATGTGAAAAACATCTGCCACTGCAGTGACACTACAAATCAACAATCATCAAGTGTCATTTTACATGATTCTTCTTCATTCCATTAATGTCTTTCAGAAACAGAATCAAAAACTCTTAATGCACTGGCAGATTTTTTTCCAGTCAATTTTCTAGAAAGTTTCCTGGAAATAATAATGTAATTTGCAGGGATAATAGAGGTCTTAGACCCTCGAGTTTAGTTAGTTATGTTGAGTTTATCAGCAGTTGCTGATATCTAGAGGGATTTTCTGGAAAGAACTGCTCTTATCTATAATTTATTATCCATTTGGAAATTGTATGGTTGCTTGGAGACAAATTTAACAAATTTGCATGTTCAGCTTATTTGCTATATTCTGACTAAATTACAATATTAACAAATAACTGGGTTTATGCTGTCTCAATTTCCTCTATAATTAGTACCAACGTATAATGTTATTATAACTGACAGACATGATGAACAAAGCTACAAAAGTTGTAATAAAACAGGATGATTCTTCTTGAGAGAAAACTTTTAGACCATGGCAAGAATAACTTGACCAGATATAAATTTTCTTCAGTGCAACATAATAACGTTTCAGCCGGCCAACTCGCTTGGCATGGATTATTGTCTGCATGCAGAATATGCTCAGCTCAGCAGGGAATGGGGAGGGCCATTACTAACTTCCTCCTTAGGGGTAGTCAGAGCCTACAGGTGGCTGCTGTTGTGGAGGTGGAAGTTTTGAAATGCTATATGAACAGCAGCACTAACAACACACGTTCAGCGCCATAATCAAAAAGGTGCATTTGATATTTGCAAGTATGCAATATTTTGTTTTGTTTGTGTTTGTTCACAATGAAAAAACAACCAAAACAAGCCGATCTCCCTCCATTTTTCTTTTGCCATCCTATTTCTCTCTCTCATTTTCTTTTTTCTCTACATTGTTTGCTAAAAGGACAGATGGAGAGAGAGGGAGAGATACAGTAGAGGAGGTTTAGTAAGACCAGAAAATAACGCAGGACTTAAAGCAAAGAGAAGAAAAGGGGATGCATGTCTCTAAGGCTACGCTCAGACTGCAGGAAGAATAACACGACGTCATACGCAGCCTTCTGTTGCAAAGAGGTTAGCTCTGGTTAGCTCCTACTTGCTAACCCTACCAAATATCACGGGAGACGTATTTCACTGTCCTGTCTGGGTTTACTACCAGGGTCACATCCTGAAATAATGACAAATGTTCAAAACTTTCTGGCTTTTCCATGACAATCATTACAGTTTCTGGTGATGTACAACGCATGTGCCCCACAACTCTCTCTCTCTCTCACTCGCTCTACTGCGTCTGCTGGCATAAGTAGCATGCATGTAACTCAGAAGAGAGCCACATGTATGATAATGTGACTTTATGGAGCTTTTTCATTCACCGCAGCTCCGTCGACAGCAGAACTGTGACAACACCTGCTCTCCGGTGACGTAAAAGCTGCATCAATTCCAACCTGTGCCAGACTCAGGTCGCATTTAAATAGATCCAATCTGTATTGGATTTGGGCCACTTTTATATGAGGTCCAAATCCGATCCGAACTGGAAAAGATCCGATTCCATGTAACTTGGCCAGTTCACACTGTTTTAAAAAGATCAGAGCTGAGTCACATATGAGCAAAAAAATTGGATTTGGGTCAATGTGGCCTGCAGTCTGAACGCAGCCTAATTAAGGGAGAATACATCAAAATTACGACGTGGCATCTGTTCTTTAAAATTAAGAGAGGGAGACTCCAGAATTACCCCAGAATTGCATTTTTATATGAATGTGTGAAATGTGAAAATACCACACTGAAATGGAAAAACATATTCCCCAATATATTTTTTTATTTTCCTGCCAATGTCATGAAATTTTCTGTGTGGCTCAGTGGAGAGGAAAACACTGTGGGCTGCAAAGTTTGTTTCAGCCACAAACTCAGAAATAACTGTTGATTTATTCACCTTTTTTTCCGATTGAAAGAGTTTGTATTTTTACATAATAACAAACATTGTGAAAACATAAGACTTCTATGTACATTTTAGGACTTCCTCAGACAGAAAGAGAATGAATAGCAGAGGATAAAAGAAGAGAAGAAATGACAAAAGAGGATTAGAGTGGAGACAAAGTAATGGGGAGAAAGTTAAAAAGTAAGGCTGAACGATTAATCGTTTTCAAATCGAAATTGCGATTTGAAAGAACGCGATTAGCTCATTGTGAAGGCGGCGATTTAAATGAAGGTTAATTAAACAGCGCATCTGACCCGTTTTAAACAGTCATGCAGTTACAAATTCATTCCGTTGTCATCCTTGTGTAACAGACCTGCTCGCCAATCACAAGCGCTATGCGCCCACTGTTACAGTCCTACTCACCAATCAGAGGGGGGACAGGGCGTGAACATTTTACAACAACAAACGAAACTAGAGGAAACAGACACAGGCAGCGACTGTGCCGAGGTTTTGTCTACACGTTGTTAATGTGTTGTTAATTTGTCCTTTCTTGTGCTTCAACTCTCTGTGAGCCGGTTTTGTTCCGCTCTCCGCAGGCTACAATTCCAACATGGAGTTTTTCAGAATAAGAGCGTTTTGCCTGTATGATTTTGCTGACTTGTTCAGATTTAGTTGATTTGCTTGGTTGTCCTGGATTTTTGTGCTTCTACTACAGTTATTTAGCCTGCGAAGTTGAATTGTTTATTTTTTTATGTCTGTTTTAACTGTGTTTATTGTTGATATACAACCAGGAGTCTGCACAGGGTGTTTTAATTTGAAAATCGACTGGATTCTTTATGCCGTTCTATGTCTGACTTCCTGCCCGGTTCATCTGCTTTGTGCTGCTTGACGCGGCTTCCATCAAAAATAAACCGGCAATGGATATTGAACTTTAGCTAAACTTTAAAAAAAAAAAAAAACGCAAATGGAATCATAATCGCAATATCTGGCAGAAAAATCGCAATTAGATATTTTCCCCAACTTGTTCAGCCCTGTTAAAAAGGAAAGAAAAAGAACCAAAAACTGAAAAGAATTTTTTATTTTTTTTTAAAAAGGTGAGGAGCAACAGGACAAAAAGAAAAGGGAAGAAATAGACAAGGAAAAAAAAGAAAAAATGGATAGACAGTGGAAGAAGAGAATGAGAAAGAAAGAATTTGCATCAGTCACGTGAGCCCCAAGCTGAAGAACAACAGAAATAAGTGAGAGCAGCAGAAATCAGAAAAAGAGACAAGCAACGAGAATCTAGCAGAGGACGGGGGAGGATGGGGGCGGCTGCCACGCTCTGTTTCTCCCTCCAGGTCCTCCAAGTGTGGCTGAAAACCATCTGTCCAGTCCACCTCGCCAGTCTACAATTCTTACACACAAGCGAAAACACAAAACAATATGTACAGCATATAATAATTTTAACTAAAATGCTCATTATACTTTTATTCTGAAATGTAATACTTTATTGGTCACTGGTCAAAGTGTGTGTGTGTGTGTGTGTGTGTGTGTGTGTGTGTGTGTGTGCGTGTGTGTGTGGGCAAGTGTGCGTGAGAGAGAGAGAGAGAGAGATAGTGTGCAGGAGGCTGATTAGTTCAGATTCAGAGCCATCACTCAGACAGAGGTTGACGTTTGCTGTCGCCACTGAGGAGATGAACGATCCACCTCCAGACGAAAAGCCTTGACACGACTCAGCAGAGCCACTCTCTCTCTCTCACACACACACACATAATAAATACACACCTACATCTATACCCTCACACATGCATATACACGCACACAGTCAGGTGCATGCACAGCAGAGACAATGAAGTGATAATCCACAGCGTCGCTATACAAATACATGTAAGTCTGTTTTCTCACCATCAGGGACGCTCACAGACATTTTGAAGCGTTGTTGACCCAGAGCGACAGACCCAGTGAGTTTATTACTGCGGGATAAGAGTGCTTAGAGTGAATCAAAACTCTTTGCTGAAAGAGACAAAAATGCCCTGTAGAGTTTGACAGTTTCTCTGTGGGTCTGTCACCCCAGCGGCCGCTATTAAACGTGCGCTTCATTTACCCCTCCCTCCTCCTTTTCCTACATTTCCTTTTTTTTGCCGACATCTCATCTCCGGCCTATTACTCTCCAGCCGTGCTGCTCCTCTGTGACTACGTTCGTGGGCATGTGTGCGATAGTGTGTGTGTTAGCGTGCGTGGTTGAGCGTGCACATGCCTCGCTGCTTCCCAATCAAGCATTAAGAGGGAATTAAGGTGTCGTTTTTCCTCAGATTTATTAGCTGCAGTCTATTGTGACTCCGAGAGAGAGGCAGTATTTCCCTGTATCTCTCTCTCTCTTTCACTATATCCCACATTTTCATTTCTTCCCATCCCTCCATCCACCCTAATACACACACACACACACACACACTCAAAGAACAATCCCTGTTTGAAATACTAATTATGGTTTCTGCTGCATTGCAGGGCGCTTTTGTTCTCTGGCTGGTGATATGTTTATAGTGTACAAGAGGTGTTCACACCCAAACAAATACAAGACATATTGCATTTCCTAGCCCCTCACCCAAACCTTAAGCAACACCTACATGCTTAAAACCCGAGTATACTTGCTTTTAACTACGCAAGATGGCTGCCACGTGTATCCCGCGTTCCTTTGGAGTGTAGGTTGTGCACGTCTCCAGAAATTAACGCTACACGTCTGCAAGATGCAATTCAGCACATGAATTGTGGTTGCAGTATGTCGATCTGGCAGACAGGTCAGCAGCAAACTTCTGTTCCACACACCAGCCCGGGTGGTGGCGGTATGCAATTGGTTGCCAACCGCCAAAAGCAAAAGAAGAAGAAGGTCAGCAGCAGACT